TTGAGCTGAAGAGCTGAGGGACAGTGCCCAGGCCCAGAGTTCAGGCCCCACGACCGGACCTCAAAAAAATAGAAATTCATATTCTACCTACCAGTGAGTTATGGAAAATTTAGAGAATTTTAAAAATATACATTGAAATTATAAAAAAGAAGGCTAAAAAAACGTAACTCAGTGATCTTTGTTATTACTGGGGAAATAAAAAAGATGTAACTATTTAGTTTTTTTAATTGTAGTATCCAAAATAACTGTACTATTTGCGCATATATATATATATCTGTATATATACATATATATATATATATATATATATAAATTATGTTGTCTGTCTTGTGTCAGTCATGGAACTTGAACTCAAGGTTTGAGTCTTTAGCTTCTTCACTCTGGCTAGTGCGATGAGAGTCTCATGACTTTCTTGCCCAAGCTGACTTCAAACTGCAATCCTCAGCTCTCTCAGCCTTCTGAGTAACTAGGATTATAGTAGCCACAGGTACCCAGTTTGCATATAATTTTATTGAAGTTATTTAATTTCTAATTGGGTTACATGAATCTCAGGAAAATACATATATTTAAATCACTCTTAGTGATTGAAACAGTAATAGGATAAGAATGAAAAGAGCCACAAAAATTATGTCTGAGACAAAATAGTGGGTGAGTCCTACTAAATTTCAAATAAGTTTATGACTTGAACATATTCTATGAAGATCAACAAAGTTATTGTAACATAGTAGAGTGATTTTATGATATATAAATTTTGCAAGATTATTTGAACATTTTGATAATTTTTAGGAGTAGGCTTTCTTTTAATACCATCTGTTTTCTTTTAGGACCTATATAAATCAGCCTTCTTTTATTTTGAAGGGACATTTTACAATGATAAAAGATACCCGGAATGCAGAGATTTGAGCAGGTATAGTTTTCCAAAATTTTCCCTATTTGTAATTCTCAAATTAGTGATAGCTCCATAAATCCTATTGTTGAACTTTTGAGGATCTTTGCTGAAAATTACTTATAAATTTTGTATTGAACTTTAAAATTGTATTGAACATGGTACATTGAACATTACATCCAAAAAACTAGATGCCACTGAGGCATTTTATTAACCTGTATTTAGTTGATATCATTTTAATCTTTGGTTATTTAGTTGATAGTACTTTCTTGCTTGTCCTGTGTATGCTACTGCTTGCCCTGGGTGACTAGAGATCTATTTGTATCCATGTAAGGATATATAATATGTATATTATGTATAATATGTATATTATGACAATCCTTTTTTCTTTTTCGTCAGTTGTGGGGCTTGAACTCTGAGCCTGGGTGCTATCCCTGAGCTCTTCAGCTCAAGGCTAGTGCTGTACCACTTGAGCTACAGCGCCACTTCCATTTTTCCTGAGTGGTTTATTGGAGATAAGAATCTCAAGACTGCCTGGTGCTGGTGGCTCATGCCTTTAATCCTAGCTACTCAGGAGGCTGATATATGAGGATCACGGTCAATGCCATCCCAGGCACAAAAAGTCCTTGAGACTCTAATCTCCAATAAGCCACTCAGAAAACCTGAAGTGGCACTGTGGCTCAAGTGATAGAGCGCTAGCTTTGAGCTGAAGAGCTGAGAGACAGCACCTAGGCCCAGAGTTCAAGCCCCATGACCGACAAAAAAAAAAAAAAAAATCTCAGGGCTTTCTTGCCTAGGCTGGCTTTGAACCTTGATCCTCAGATCTCAGTCTCCTGAGTAGCTACTGGCGTGAGCCACCATCACCAGGCTGATGACATTTCTTTGGTACACAAATACTAGAATCCAGGGCTGGGAAGGTGGCTCAGTGAGTGGTACGGTGCCTGAGGCCCTGGGTTCAATTCCTCAGCACCACATAAGCAAAAAGAATAAAAGCCAGAAGTGGCTCTGTGGCTCAAGTGGTAGAGTGCTAGCCTTGAGCTGAAGAGCTGAGGGACAGTTCCCAGGCCCAGAGTTCAGGCCCCACAACCGGACCCAAAAAAACAAACAAAAAATACTAGAATCCTTGTTAATATCTTTTTTTGTGTGTTAGTCTTGAGGCTTTAACTCAAGATCTGGGTTTTACCCCTGAGCAATCTTGCTTATTAGCTTTTTCACTCAAATCTGGTGCTCTGCTACTTGATTCACATCTTCCAGCTTTTTGTTGGTTGATTGAAGATGAGAGTTACTTTGTCTGCTTGGACTTGCTTCTAACCTCAATCCTCAGATTACAGACTCCTAAGTAGTTAGGATAACAGGCAAGAGCCATTGGCACCCAGCCTAGTATCTTTGTTGTTGTTGTGGTTGTGGGGCTTGAACTCTGGGCCTGAGCCCTGTCCCTCAGCTCTTCAGCTCAAGGCTAGTGCTCTACCACTTGAGCTATAGCACCACTTCTGGTTTTCTGGTGGTTTTTGGAGATAAGAGTTTCATGGAGTTTCCTGCCCAGGCTGGCTTTGAACCAGCTTTGAACCCCACAATCCTCAGATCTCAGCCTCCTGAGTAGCTAGGATTACAGCATGAGCCGAGGGAGCCCGGCTTCTATTATCATTTATTTTTTTCTTTCCGGTTGTGGGGCCTGAACTCTGGGTCTGGGCGCTGTCCCTCAGCTCTTCAGCTCAAGGCTAGTGCTCTACCACTTGAGCCACAGCGCCACTTCCGGCTTTTTTCTTTTTGCTTATGTGGTGCTGAGGAATCGAACCCAGGGCCTATGGCATGCAAGGCAAGCGCTCTACCAAGCGCTCTACCACTGAGCCACCTTCCCAGCCCGCTTCTATCTTCAGCTCAAGGCTAGTGCTCTACCATTTGAGCCACAGTGCCGCTTCCAACTTTTGCTGCTTACGTGGTGCTGAGGAATCAAACCCAGGGCCTCATGCATGCAAAGCAAGCACTTTACCACTGAGCCACCTTCCCAGCCCAACTTTTAATTTTTAATTAAGGGCCCCAAAGAGCTATATAGTATATTACCATATTAAGCATTGAAACTATGAAATATGAAAATATTAATCTTAGTAAGCTATATATAAAAAATGTTGTCCAAAGTTAAATGAGAAGAGTAGCATTAGTGTCTACACAGCCACTAAAATTCTTATAAGTGGACGAGAATTTGGCAGACAATATAATTCTGAAGATAATTTTGATCTGCTGGACCCCACTTTGAGAATTATTCTGATAGATGAAGAAAATTCAGTGTTCTTAATCCGAAAATGTGTCAGTCACTATGGTCTTTCTGTCAAGATGGCAGCTCTCCAGTTTACTGGGTGAGCTAGATAATCTGAAATACTGAAGGTACAAACTCTTCACTCGTTTTTTGGAACAATGCTACATTCTTGTCTTTTTTCCCCATCTCAGAACTATCATTGAATGGTCAGAATCCCATGATCGAGGCTATGGAAAGTTGCATACTGCTAGAATGGAAGATTTTACCTTCAACGACCTAAAAATTAAACTGGGCTTTCCTTACTTATACTGTCACCAGGGAGACTGTGAACATGTTATTGTCATTACAGACATAAGGTATGTAGCAGCATTTGGAGCATTTTGTTATTGTTTGTTATTTAATATATTATAAAAGTAGTTTTTATAAATTAAAATAGATCACCACTGTCACTTGCCTTGGGAGCAGCAAAAATATCTGCTGTGGAATAATCAACTCTTTGCATCCATTTGTATCTTCTGTTGTTAACTTTTGAAAATATATAAGAAATGCTTTACTGTTAGTAAACTACTGTTAGGTTAAATGTCTAATTTGGGGGGGGGTTGGGGGGAGGGTCGGTTGTGGGGGTTGGACTCTGGGCCTGGGTGCTGCCCCTGAGATCTTCAGCTTAAGGCTAGCACTCTACCACTTGAGCCTCTGCCCTCTAAGTAGCTAAGATTACAGGCGTGAGCCAGTAGCACCTGGGTAAATGTCTATATATTTTTAACACATACCTATTTTGTATATAAACAGCTAGTACTTAGGTAGTAGCAGTCATCTATTTTGTATCCTATTATGGCCGTTTGCTATTTTCAACTGTATTCTTAAGCTGTTTCTAAGAAGTGGTGGTGGTGGTGGTGGTGGGTCTGTCTGTGTGTGTCTCTGTGTGTGTGTGTGTCTCTCTGTGTGTGTGTGTGTGTGTCTCTGTGTGTGTGTGTGTGTCTGTGTGTGTCTGTGTGTGTGCGTGCTTTACCACTAAGCTATATCCCTAGCCTTATTCTGAGGCTCTTGTCCTTTTGCCAAAATGTAAGAGATCAAAGGAAACTGGAGGAAAAGAAGAACTGTTTTAATATTTGACAAATGTAGAGTTTTAAATGCTTTGGTAAGATTTTAATTGGAAAGGAATTAAAATAGTTAAGAGGAGATTTGGGGATTAGTTTAATATTTGATATAACTGATACCTCTTTCTCATGAATAAAGCTATTCATTTCCTTATTTAAGAAATACCAGTTAAGAAGGATCAGTGTGAAGGAATAGGCCCAGCTCTATTGCTTAATTCCATTTGAGAAACCATTTTAAATCTTGATTAAAGCAATGATATACCATGTTTTTATTAAATGAGTACAAAGAATTAGTGATTTTGGAAAAGTCCCTTGCTTCTACTTCTTTATAGTCTCAGTGACTGATGTAAAAGTTAGCCCATGCACTCACTCAGTTTAGGAAGCTTCTACAGAGTAAAACATAGTAAAGATGTGGGATGCATTTGAAATAATAGATCTCATGGGAAAATGAAATTCTCATTTGATAGCCACGTAGCAGACCTAGAACACAATGTGCTGGGAACCTGGAGCCATGTGCATTGAGAATTCATGATGGAGAAGCATGACTTGGGAGAAAAATAGAACCAAGAGAGCTCTGTTGGTGCTTTGCTTGTGTATGTGTGTTAATACTGGGCCTTGAACTTAAGACCTCACAACCTTCCTTAGCTTTTTTGTTCAAGTCTTGGGGACTTTCTGTCTGAGCTGGCTTTGACCTTAGATCCTCAAATTTTAGCCTCCTGAGTAGCTATGATTATACTGACACCCCGCCCTCCACTGATGCTTTTAACATATGTCGTCCACTGTTCAGTCACAAAATTGGGAACCAAATTAGTCACTACATTATATCCAACCAGAAAAATGTCTACTGAAGAGATGGGCTTAAATAAGTAGTACTGTCATAATTTAAACATTACTTAACTAAAAGTATAGTAGTTCTAGCTATATAACAAAGTTGAGTAGCTAATTTTTTTTTTTTAAGTTAAGCATAGAGAGGCTGGGAAATTGGCCCCATGGTAGAGTGCTTGCTTTGCATGCATGAGGCCCTGGGTTCAATTCCTCAGCACCGCGTAAGCAGAAAAAAGCCGGAAGTGGTGCTGTGGCTCAAATGGTAGGATGCTAGCCTTGAGCTGTAGAACTGAGGGACAACGTCCAGGCCTAGATTTCAGGCCCCATCACACACACACATACATTAAGCATAGAAAGCATTTGTAAGAGTCAGAACTTATAAACCTCATGTTCATATGAACTTTTTTTTTATACAGAATTTGTGTTTTGGTAATGTTATTAAAGTTTATATAAGGTATTCTGTTCGCTTTTCTCAAATGCAAGGGAATATGCATCGTAGCAAATGTAAGATAGAGAGAAGCTAGCATTGTAGTTCAGAAGTAGATTGTTTATTCAGTGTACATAAAGTGTGGCTGAAAACAAGTAAAAAAATTGAGTTTTAGTTTCCTTAAGTGCTTGTAGTATAGGCATAGTGCTATAAAAGGTATCCGTTCTAAGGATAAAACCGACTTTGTTGAGAAATCTTTATTAGTGACTTAAAAAGGCATTTTCATCTTGTAGGTAATTTAATTATTATTATTAAATATTACCACCAAAAGTTTAATCATTTTTTATGGGTAAGACAGTGGGCTTGATCTGTAGACTGTACTGGCTCCTTGAATTCCTTTGTCCTTCTATTGCAGTTTTTTGGTTTTTTGTTTTTTTTTTCTCAATTGTGGGGCCTGAACTCTGGGCCTGGGCGCTGTCCCTCAGCTCTTCAGCTCAATGCTAGCACTCTACCACTTGAAACACAGCACCACTTCCCGCTTTTTCTGCTTATGTGGTACTGAGGAATTGAACCCAGGGCCTCATGGATGCAAGGCAAGCGCTCTATCACAGAGCCACCTTCCCACCCCCTATTGCAGCTGAGTATGATTTTCTTCCAAAAAAAAAAGTCAAGTGTTAGGACAAGAAATATTTAGGCTAATAGGTGATTTCATTTTTCAGATTAAGAATAAATTGGCACATAATGTTTTAAGGGATTTGTCTGAAGCTGTGCAGCTGATTAGTGGCAGGGCGAAGGCTAATTTCCACTTTTTACAGTTTAATTTTTTGAATGTTATCATACATGTGAAGTATAGAGTGGTTACTTTTTACATAGTTTCTTAAAACAACATTTCAGCCATGCACCCGTGCTTCAAACCTGTAATCCTAGCTGCTCAGGAGGTTGAGTTCTGAGGATCATGGTTCAAAGCCAGCCTGGGCAGAAAAGTCCCCATGAAACTTTCATCTCCAATTAACTACTCAAAAAAAACTGGAAGTGGCACTGTCGTAGATTGCTAGCCTTGAGCAAAAGAGCTCACACAGCATCCAGACCGAGTTCAAGCCCCACAACAGGAAGAACAAAACAAAAAAGTATTATAATTCTGATACCTAAAACTAAAATCCCACCAATTCATATTATACCAGAAGCCAGACATAGATTTTTATTTTATTTTTTGGTTGTTCGTGGGCCTTGGCACTGTCCCTCAGCTCTTCAGCTCAAGGCTAGTGCTCTACCACTTGAGCCATAGTGCCACTTCCAGCTTTTTTAAATTTAAAAAA